AACCGCTCCCCCGTCTGCCCCACGAGCTTTGGCCCTGCAGCAGGGAAAGCCATGCAGCTCCTGCTGCACACACACCACCACCTCCCCTAGCCTACAGGCTCCTTCCAGGGGCACCCGAGCCACGTTAGGGACTTCCGAGCCTTGGCAGCTCCTCTCCAACGAGGAGAGCGGGCGGGGAGCAGCTGAGCCTGCTTCTACCCACCAGGGCCTGAGGAGAGGCTCCCTGCCGAGAACAGGCCAGAGCCTCTCCAGCGACACCGAGCAGCAGAGACGGCCTGACGCTCTGCCACCCGCCCTCGGCACCGCCAAGCAGCTCAGCGGCATCCCAGCTCGGGAACTCGTCAGGCAAAAGAGCTCCCCAAGACCACCCTCTCTTAGAGCACCCCAGACGACTACACCCCAGACAGCCGCTTGCAGAGCTCAGGCTCGTTCGCCCCCTTTTGCCGACCAGCCCCAAGAGGCTCCGTTTCCCAGACATCCCGCGCCTACAAAAGGACCGGCACCGCTCGGCAGCCCAGCGGCAACCCCTCAGCGGCACCGAGACGCCAGCACCCCTACCTGCGTCGTGCGAAGCCAGAGCCCTCAGCATCTTGCCAGCGCTGCGGCGGATTTGCTTCTCCTTGTGGCACAGCATCTCCATCAGCAGGTCGAGGGCTCCCGTCTCCTTGAAGGCGCCCGTCAGCGAGCCGATGCTGGCATACGCGCTCAGCACGTGGATGGTGTTGAGGATGGAGGACTCGGGAGCCCCAGTCCCGGCCATCTGCCGACCAGCTCGCTGCACCAGGCTCCTGACGTCAGCCTTCATCTCCAGCAGCGACGCTTCGTCCAGCGCGACATCTGCGGGGAACGGGCTGGGCGCCTTCTCCTCTTTCACCCACCGCCCGTCCAGCTTCCTCTTGCCCAGCAACATCGGGCAGCTGGCGCACACCTCTTCTGCCGACATCCACATCAGGATGTTCTCCGGCTTGCTTTCCGCGCAAGAGTCGCTGCTGCTGCCTGCTGCTCTCTCCTCCAAGCTGACGACGCTCCACCGGATCAGGTACTCGGGGTGGCCGTCGTGGCCTCGCCGCTGCCGCAGCAGCTCCTCCGGGTAGGCCTGCAGGTTGGGTCCCAGCTGCACGAGCAGGTTGCCGTCACGCCTCTCGCTCACCATGATGGCAAACGCGTCTGCGGAGACAGAGGGGGAGGAGGAGCAGGTTCTCAACATGAAGCCTCATGCCAGGGAGAGCGTGAGCAAGCGTCTCAGCTGACAGGAGAGAGGGTCGAGGCACAGACTTTGATCCTGTGATCCTGCACCTAGAATAAAGCCCCAAAGGAAACTCCACTTCACAGAAGCTTGTGTCCCTCTCTGAGATAATGAGCAAGTATTTCACATATAAACCCTGTGCCTGGCATTACTGGCACACATAGAGATAGGGTCTCCCTGCAGGCCTACTCCGAGAGGCAAAAAAGGCCTATTCAAATCCCCCCAATAAGACAGCAAATAACAACCAAAAAGTTGGGTCCTGCTCACATCTTTGTCACTGACTGTGACACAACCCTATGCAAGTCACTGCTTTCAAACTTGTTTTCTCTCCTGCCATTTAACATTCATGTAGCTATTCGGTTCAGGCAGGAACTCTCCTGAGAGAGACAGAGAGAAAGAGAGTGCTCTGCAGAGCTGTAGAACCCAGTTTGAGTCACCAGCCTGTGAAGAAAATAACTAGCAGTTTCTCAGGTCTTGCTCATATCCATCAAATCACATCACTATCTAAGAGTCACTCAGTGTTTCCTTCCTGGTCTTCTCTCAAACATTCTTTGACTTTACAAAGTTTAGTCAACAGGCAGATTCACCAAAATGAGGAGTTGCTAATCCTTGCTGCCTGATTGTGCTATGCATCTTGGGGTTACAGAGAAGAAGACATGACACTTCTCTGCTTCGTTTAGGCAAAGACAAACTTGAAATAACTTGCTGTCCAAGAGTGGGTGCCAGCAGTTAGCTGGACACCTGCAGAGAATGCTGCACGTAACAGACCAACTTCATTACTACATAGCATGTAAGATCAGAGTGATAAGAAAAGAAGTTTCCCAGAGGAGCCCATGCAGCTAGTAATGCAGATACACAAACAGGCCCTCTTGCGGTCATCTACACACATGGGCAAGAGATACAATGAAGGGACATGCTGTTCAGCTGACAATAATAGAAGTGTTTTTTTAAGTTATTCCATGTAGGAAATCATCTATCAATGCACAACTGAAAAGGACACTCCATCCAAAGACGACGCTAGGCACACTCAAAGAGGTTTCCCATGGCCGGGGAAAGCCTGAACTCCCTGAGAGTCATACTTGCATTCAGTTATGTCTTCTTTGGAGTCAGCAGAGAGCACAGCTGGGATCTTCTTGCAGCCTCCCTGTAAGGAAAGGACTAAGTTATTATCCTGTGATTTGCAACAATGTTTAGATGCACTGTTAAAAGCCAAGCAACTGCTTTCCCTGGCTGAACTTGACAGTACACAAAGGCATTCCCTCTTCCAAGAGGTTCACTTAAAATAAAAAACACAGTAAAACAAAAGTCAAAATCGCTATGAAGCATTATTCTGCTTGAGGAGAAAACTCACTTCACCCAGTCTCCACATCTTAGCATTTAGCATGACAACGAACCACCTCTTTACAAGACAGCCATCCAAAAGGGCCCAGAAGAATTTGTAGCTGGGGAGGGGAGAATCTGGATTTAGGGCACCTGAATAAGTGGCTGTAACGTGAATGACAAGCGCGACACGCTAGAGCTTTGCTAGGACAATGCATAGCTTAAATACATGCATTAAAGCATATCGCCGGGGACAGGACAGGCATGGGGATGGGAGCAGCCATTGGCTGCCAACAGGGACCTCGTCCCCACAGTAGCACTGGGGCCTAGGAGAAGAGGGAGGGTTGAGGTCACGCGACCGTTCAGGCTGGACGGGATCTTCAGGCTCCAGTCCAACCTCCTGCTCGCTGCAGGAGCAGTGCTGGGGTCCCACCAGGCTGCTCTGGGCTTGATCCAGTTGGGTCCTCCAAGGGCAGAGAGAGGACAGCCTCTTGGGGCCCCTGCCTCACGGCCTGGCTGGCCTTGTGGGTGGAAAGTTCTTCCTGATGTTCAGTCTGAAACACTCATTTCATCTTAGGCCTCTGGTCTCTCATCCTCCCACCATGCACCGCTGAGGAGCCTAGCTCTGTGTTGATGACCTCCCCATACATCCTAGGGGCCTGTTAATTCCCCCTGAAGTCACACCTTCTCCAGGCCAAGCAAGCCCTGGTCCCTCAGCTTTTCCTCACGAGGGCAAGCGGTCCGGCCCTGATCATCTTGGTGACCCTGCATTGAACGCAATCCAGTTTGCCCACATCTTTCTTGTGTAGAGGGGCCCAATAAAGTCTCTAGATGCCGTGTAAGGGGTGCTGAATGAGGGGGATGATTCCTTCCCTCACTTCCTGGCCCTCACTGCTGACCCATGCTCAGCTCGTGCCCACTAGGCTGCCAGAGCGTTTCCCTGGCCAGTGTGGCCCCAGCCTGTATCATTGGTGGGGGCTCTTCCTTCCCAGCCACGGGACTTTGCATTTCTTGTTGAATTTCAGGAGGTTTCTGTTGTCCCCTTCCTCCAGCCTGGCCAGGTCCCTCTGGATGGCAGCCCTACCCTCCAGCGATATGGACTGTTCCCCCCAAATTGGAATCATTTGTCAAAGCACGCACCCCATCACCTCCTCCAGGCCACTGACAGAAATGCTAAACAGGACAGGTCCCAGGCTGGACCCCTGCAGTACTCCACTTGTTACTGGCCTCCTTGTAGTCTCCATCCAAACCACAGCATCCTAACTCGGGCACAAGACTATTGTGAGACAGTGCCAAAAGCTCTGCTAAAGTCGAGGTAAACGACATCCACTGCTCTCACCTCTTCCACAAATCCAGCTTTTCCATCATAAGAGGCGCTCAGGCTGGTGAGGCAGGATTTACCCTTGGTCAATCCATGCTGCCTGCTCCCCACCACCATCTGCTCCTCCACGTGCCAGGAAGACAAAGGTTATCTGGCTGTCTGCAATGCAAATGGCTCTCAAATTAATAGGCTGAGCTCACTGCGCTTGCTGGGGAGCTCAGGACACTCCATTTCCAGATAGGCACTTGCATTTTTATACAAATTTCTAATTAAATGTGGATTAATAGTTTGTTCCAGAGGCTGGTACAGTTTGATGTTGCCCAGTACCCTCCAGTAGCAGTCCAGGTGCCAGCCAGAAGATGAATAATCTTGTTTACATCTGTCCCTGGGGAGGTCCCTGCTTGGAGGAGGTCTCTCCCGTCTCTCCCATCAGGGCCAAGCACTCTATTTTGTCTCTTTTTTGTTTTTTATATTCTTGGAGCATTACCGGAGCTCTGAGATGACAAGGTCTCTGCTTCCCCATTCCTTAGAGGCTTCCCTAGGCTGGTGACCACTTTCATGACTTGAGCTCACATGGCTTTTCTCTTGCCTGAGCACAGCAGAGGGGTTCCCCCTCCGCTGATTCACGAGCCAACGGCAGAGCAGAGGAAGGGCCTGGCACAGAGCCACTCCATGCCCAGAAGTCTGCCTCACAGTCAACCTTAGTATGATTTGAGCCTACCAAAACCCCTGTCCACCCCAAGCCCCAGCCAAGACAGCCTACAGCTTGGCAGCCATCTCTCCTGGCAGTTTTGAGTCCTGTCAGGGTCCAAACTCCTAGGCAGGTGCATCCCATGAGCCCCCACTCAGAAGAGACAGCAGTAATGGGACAGCAGTAGGGTGAAGGACACTTTATTGGCCTCCATCTCACTCCTGCGCCGCAGCCCGGGGCAGGTTGACATAGCTCTTCATGGGTGGGAGAGGCTTGATCTTGCGTCCAGCCCAACCACCCTTACGATGCCACAAGCCCGTGTGCGGGCGTTTGCCCAGCCAGCGGTTCCGGCCCGCCTTCCCGATCACCCTCTTGTTGTGGTCGACGTTGGACACGCGGCCCACTGTGGCCACACAGGTCTCCAGCACCTGGGGGACGGAGAAGGCCCGTGAGCCTCCCCGCTGACACGCGGCCGCAGGCCCAGGCAGGCAGCCAGCAGTCAGGACGGGGACAGCACAGCTCCTCTACCTGCATGTGCCTCTTGGAGGGCAGCTGCACGATGGCCGTCCCATTCACCTTCCTCAGCAGCACCCCGCAAGTCCCTGCAGCGGGCCAGAGGGAAGAAGGCAGCTTCTCTGAGCTGCAGGACAAAGTATCGCACCCCCAGCCAGAACGTCCTGGCAGGGAAGCTGCCAAAGCCCCTGTCTCCACCCTTTGTGCAGCTGCTCTTCCCAAAGGCAGGGCCTCGAGGCACCACCAGGAAGGGCTGTCCCCACCTGTCCCCACCTCCCCGGGGTGCCATGTTGCACCCTAGCACTAGGAGAAAAGAGGGCAGCGACTCCAAGCAGCGCCCCTCTGACCTCCCCCCCAGCTCTGCTGAGCCAAGTGCGGGGGCCCCCCCGCGCAAAGACGCACCAGCTGCCCGGATGTACTGCGCCCCCTTCCCGGGGTGGCTCTCCAAGTTGCAGATCAGCGTGCCCACAGGCAGAGCCCCCAGAGGATAGGCGTCCCCTTCGTTGGCCGACACTGGAAGACAGCCGCCGGTGAGCGCGGCACAGCGCAGCGTGGCTGGCGGACCCCCGGCGGGGGCCGGGGGCAGCCCCGGGGGGC